GACATGGTCGCTGGTCGAGCTCCCACGTGGTCACCACGCCATCGACTTGAAGTGGGTGTACAAGGTTAACCACGACGAGAACGGCGACATCGTGAAGTACAAGGCGCGTCTCGTCGCCAAGGGCTACGTCCAACGTCCCGGCGTCGACTTTGAGGAGGTTTTCGTGCCCATCGCAAGACTAGAGTTAGTGCGGCTGCTACTCGCCATCGCGGTGCACTACGGCTGGGGCGTCCACCACATGGACGTCAAGTCGGCGTTCTTGAACGGCGATCTCCAGGAGGAGGTTTACGTTCAGCAACCTCCTGGGTTCGTCGACGACAAGCACAAGTACAAGGTGCTTCGACTCCACAAGGCGTTGTACGGGCTGCGCCAAGCTCCACGCGCCTGGAATCAGAAGCTGGACGCTGAGCTGATCACCCTCGGGTTCACGCGCTGCGTCGACGAGCACGGAATGTACACCCGTGGCAAGGGAGGTGGCCGTCTGATCGTGGGCATGTACGTCGACGATCTAGTCATCACGGGAGGTGATGCAGGTGTAGTGACAAAGTTCAAGGCGCAGATGAAAAACATCTTCAAGATGAGTGATCTTGGGCTCCTCTCTTATTATCTTGGGCTTGAGGTTGTTCAGGGAGCCCATGGTATCACACTTCGTCAGAGCGCCTACGCCACCAAAATCCTTGAGAAGGCTGGGCTGGCTGGCTGCAATGCCAGTGCCACACCCATGGAGCCAAAGCTGAAGCTGCTCAAGGAAGGGACGACGCCGAGCGTGGATGCCATAGAGTACTGCAACCTTATCGGCAGCCTCAGGTATTTGTGTAACTCTAGGCCGGACTTGGCATATCCGGTGGGATATCTTAGCCGGTTCATGGAGGCTCCGCGTCAAGAGCACCTTGCTGCAGTCAAGCGTGTTCTCCGGTATGTGGCAGGGATACTGCATTGGGGCCTGCACTACCATCCGGGCAAGAAGAATGTAGGAGCGCCAAAGCTGCTAGGCTACTCCGATAGTGACTTGGCCGGAGATGTCAATGACCGAAAGAGCACCAGCGGCCTCATCTTCTTCCTGGCGGGAGGGCCGGTTGCTTGGCAATTGGCGAAACAGAAGGTGGTTGCTCTATCTTCTTGCGAGGCAGAGTGCATCGCGGCTGCTGCAGCCGCATGCGAGGCAGTTTGGCTGGCGCGGTTGCTGGCAGAGCTCGTCGGAGGAGCAGTCCTCGCACCCAGGCTCAAGGTGGACAACAAGTCCGCCATCGCTTTGATGAAGAACCCTGTACATCATGACCGGAGTAAGCACATTGATGTGAAGTTCCATTTCATCCGGGAATGCTGTGACAGGAAGCTGATCGACGTCGAGTTCGTCGGCACTGAGTTGCAGCTGGGCGACATCCTCACGAAGGCGCTCGGACGTAGTCGGTTCCAAGAGCTCCGTAGTGGGATCGGCATGAAGCATCTTGTGTAAATATACTCTAGGGCTTAGGAGGAGATTGTTATAGTAAGCCCAGGGTACATCTTCTATTTTAGGAAGTAGATTAGTGCATGGCACGGCCCAGGGCGTTGGGATGGCAGCGGCTGATCACGAGCGTGCCGTGATTGATTCAGTCAATTTGTATCCATATATACTGCATGTACTTTGCTTAAATAGAGATAGCAATCAACAAGAAACGCTGCCACTTTGCAGCACCAATACTCTCGTATCTTCCACTGTGTGTTTGCGTGTGTTCATCGATCTCTCGTCGAGTTCGGTTTTCTGTCAGGTGACACGGGCGGCTCCCAAGCCCGCCGCTGCTCTCCCTCTCCTCTCCTCCTCTCCCACCGCACTGCCGCCGGAGTCAGCCGCCGGCATGGCCGTCTGGGCGGCCGGGATGGTGGCGGCGGGGCTCTCCTTCCCTCGTGCTGGTGGCGCGTGCTGCAGCGGGTCGACGGCCCATCCCTCGCGCGATCGGCGTGGAGTCCGACGGGGGTGGCTGCGGCGGCTACGGTGGCGCCGGCCAGTGCCCGTGCAAGCGTAGCGGATGGCGGCGGGGTCCTCTTCTTCTCCACGCATTCCCCTCCTCCACTCTTGATGGTAGCGACAGCGTTGGCTGGGGCTGCCGGTCTAGGCCTCGGGCGGCTAGATCCGGTGCCCGGGAGGCCGGATCTGTCGTGCCAGCCGGTGGCGGGTGCGGCAGTGGCTGGCGGTGGTTGTGACGGCTGTCGGGGCTTGTGTAGGCGTTGGGGGCGGCGCTCTCTTCTCTGCCACGCCTCCCCTCATGGCCTTGGTTGCTGCGGCGGCGGTCGGGCCTCCTCAGGGGCTGGCTGTTGCCGGGGCGGCAACCTCTGCTGGCTAGCCATGGCCGTAGCGGCCGGTTTGGTGGCCAGGGCGACGGGCCAACCCAAGGCGGTGCTTGTGGCTACGGTCAAGATGGAGGCGGCGGCGTTGGCAGGGGACACCGGGTTCGGGGCTCGGGCCCTAGCGCCCGGATCCGGTGGCCCAAGGGCAGGGGGTGGCACCCGAGATGGTGGGGGCACACGCCCTGTTGCCGCTGGTGATGATTTCGGTAGCTACTTCGGCGGGTGCCAGCGCCGACGACGTGCGGCCTCGGCGTGCGGCGGTTTGACGCGAGCGACAGAGTCAGGTCCGGTTCTGCGTGTGGCCCGATCAGAGGGGGTGGTGGCCAGCATAGCTGTGCGGCTGCTGCATGCAGTCGGCGCGTCGAGGCCCCTCTGAACGGGCCTTCGCGGGGAGGCGGGACAACGGCGATGGCAGTGAAGGTTGGCAAGGGGTTCAGCTTCGCGACTCGGCGGTCATGCAAGAGGGTTCTTGGGCGAAAGCCTTGGCGACGGCAACGCCATTGGGCACCGCTTCCCTATTGGGGGCGTCGCGTTTCCCCTCTGCCATGTCTTCCAAGGGTGAAAACCTGATCCACTTTTGGACGTGCGATGGTGGAGCCATCGGCGTCACTCCCTTCGTGAAGGCGTCGTATTTGGATTATCGTCGCGGGTTTTGATGCAGGGCGAGGGTTCGCGTTGGAAGTCGGAGCTGCTCTTCGGTTCGAGTTTGGCAACGATGACCTGTGGTGGCCGTTAGCTTCAGACTCATCGGGGGTGATCAGTAGGTAGCCTGCTATAGGAAGTCGGAACTGCTGGCAGCTTGGCTTCCTTGCTCGGCAACGATGACCCTTGGCAGCATGTCGTGTTGTGCTCAACCGCGTCGTGTGGGGTGGTTAGCCTATCGGGTGTCTTTTTGGCATCTCGTCTGGCTAACCTGCTTGTACATTTTATTCTTTCATCTTAATTGAGCGACAGAGCTCCTGCCTTTGTTTAAAAAAAATAGTGCCAAAAAAACTGGTTTTTGAAAGTTCACTAAAAATTATTAGAAGAAAAAACCACACATACTCCAACGATTCCTAAGACTACTATTAGAAAATGAATTAAATTTTGAGACTCCCGTTCACCCTGCTCTAGTCACTTGTTCGATTATTCATTATGTGGTGAATCGGTTCATAGCAAACCAGCAATAATGTGGTGATGACTAGGCCCCTTTTCTAGTTGTGTTCGACAAAAATACAAAATTCAAATATATGACCCTTTTTTAGTATATCTTGCGTCTATCTCTGCTCAAACGAACTTTTTTTTACATAAAAAAGGAAGTGCACATATTTCCACCCTTCATAAAACTCAATTGTTTCACTAGATATATTTCTCCAATTCAAATGACGATATTCGTCACTTGCGAAAATCCTGCAGAGCACGGCACTGTACAGCATATATACGTGTCCATATCAACAAGTTGACTTGACCTGCAACCCACTCGTCAAAGATAAGCTATGAATAAATCATGTCCACAAAGTAAATTCTGGAAGGCCGATCATCACAAATAAACAACATTGGTTTTGGAAACGAACACACAGCACTGGTGACCATTCGACGAACTGAATTTCATCATGGAAACCCGCAGGAGGCAGGTCGCGCATTAGCCCGGAATATCTCTTTCTGGTTCTGCTGAAAATTATTCTGGGATGCGAGACGGCTTATCAGCCAAACGAACGCATGTCCATCTTAAACAGCGACGGCGACGCTGAGAGACGGGATGGAAGCTGAAAAGTAGAGGTAGCTGACGAGTTTGACGGACTCCGGGTCTTCGCTGCAACGGCGGTCAAGCTAAGCCGAGATGAGGCTTGATGATGACGGAAGTGTGTGGATGTATGCGGCTGTAAAACTGTTTTTAAACCCCTGGGCAGGCAGCTGAGCATCTAAACCAAAGCTCACGGCTCATAACAGCTCATACGTTACACCACCCGGCAAAGCCACACAAGAAAAGACGCTTCGGCCTTCGGCCAAGCAGAGGTCCGTTATTCTATTTCCTCCTGGTGCTCAGTTCTAGGCTTCTAGCACTACTTCAGCAATTATGTTGGTCTGGGCTCTGCTGTTACTCGTCATGCATCAATTGCTTGCAGCGCTATTCGAACATTGACAAAGTTAATATCTTTGTTTGGGCTCATTTTCTTCCTTTCTTTTTTCGTTTCTTAATTTTGCTAGTACTTCTATTTCCTCCTGGTGCTCAGTTCTAGGCTTCTAGCACTACTTCAGCAATTATGTTGGTCTGGGCTCTGCTGTTACTCGTCACGCATCAATTGCTTGCAGCGCTATTCGAACATTGACAAAGTTAATATCTTTGTTTGGGCTCATTTTCTTCCTTTCTTTTTTCGTTTCTTAATTTTGCTAGTACTCTGTAACTTGTTCCTTATTGCTTTAAATAAAATCCTGTAGGGGTTCAACTCCCTCCAGTTTCATCAAAACAAAAACAAAAAAACAAAGTTAAACCTTGTGCTTATTTGGATTGCTAGCATTATATACTTTACTGGTCGAGTGCAGTTCCTTACTTCCATTTCCATAAAATTGTACATGCATGGCAAGAGGGCAGAGCAGCATGTGCTGGCATAAAGTAGCTAGCTTCGCCGGTAAACATATAGTAGTACACCACAATATTTATACCACGTATTTTGCAGGTAACGAGGCCACTAATGGCCGAGGACCGGCAGGTGAAAGTGAAACTCACCATGCTGATGCTACTGCTAGCATTGTGTCTGCTGTCTCATGGTGTAGGGAATGTCTGTTGCTCCACCGTCCCTGAGAATAGCACGGACATGCTCGCCCTGATTGATTTCAAGGCAGTCACCACAGATCCTTTAGGATCCTTGAGCTCGTGGAACACTAGCATCCACTACTGCAACTGGAGTGGTGTCACATGTAACCAGAAGAACCACGGGCGAGTAACGGCACTCAAACTTTACAACCAAGGCCTGTCAGGCCCGATTTCCCCATCTGTTGGAAACCTAACATTCCTTCATACACTAGACCTGTCTACCAATCAGTTCTCTGGCCAAATACCACATTTCAACAATCTCCAGAAGATGCAAATCCTTAATCTGAGCTACAACTCATTGGATGGGGTTATTCCAGACACGCTCACAAATTGTTCCAACCTCAAGGAGTTGCATCTCTACCATAACTTACTCAATGGTGAAATTCCTCGGGAAATAGGTCTCCTTGAGAAACTGGTCTTTTTTGCCCTTAATAACAATAATCTTACTGGGACCATCCCGCCAACCCTTGGTAACATCACCCATATAGAAGAGTTTTATCTTCAAGAAAATCAACTTGAAGGAACAATTCCAGGTGAACTTGGCCACTTTTCAAATATTTCGATGCTGGCCCTTGGGGGAAATAACCTATCAGGTACTATCCCTGCAAGCCTATTTAATTTGTCCTTACTTCAAGAAATAGATTTGGGTACAAATCAACTAAGAGGGAGCCTACCAAGCAATATGGGTGATCGTCTCTCCAATTTAGAAATGCTATACTTGGGCCAGAATTGGCTGGAAGGTCACATACCAGATTCCTTAGGTAATGCTTCAATGCTACAACACATAGTTCTACAGACTAACAACTTCACTGGTCCGATCCCTAGCTCCTTCGGGAAGCTTTCAAGTTTAATTAGACTAGACCTTGGTTTGAACATGCTTGAAGCAAAAGATAGTGAAATCTGGGAATTCTTACATGCGCTAGAAAACTGCAGTGCTCTACAAGTGCTAGCAGTATCAAACAATCAGATGCAGGGGGTCATACCAAATTCAGTCGGTAACTTATCATCTACTCTTCAGTACTTAATTTTAGGTGGAAACAAGCTGTCAGGTACAATCCCACCAAATATAGGAAAACTCTCTGGGTTGGTTAAATTAACACTAGATGAAAGCAGTCTCACTGGTAGCATTGATGGATGGCTTGGAGACCTGAAAAACCTGCAGTATTTGAATCTTAGAAAAAACAACTTAAGCGGACCCATTCCACCCGTCATTGACAATCTTAAAGGTTTGCTGGAGCTTTATTTAGACAATAACAAGTTTGACGGCCCCATACCTCAGAACTTAGGAAATCTTCAAACACTTCTAAAGTTAGACTTAAGTTACAATAATCTTCAAGGCAACATTCCTCCAGAGGTTGGTAACCTTAAGCAACTCTTCAACATACATCTCTCAGCAAATATGCTTAGTGGAGAAATTCCTGATAGTTTCGGCCAATGTCTAGCCTTAGCTGACATCCAGATGGACCAAAACATGCTGACAGGGAGCATTCCAGCATATCTTGGTAACTTCACCAGTTTGAGCGTGCTGAATCTTTCACATAACAGTTTATCAGGCACCATCCCAACAAATCTAGGTGATTTATCATTGCTTGACGAACTGGATCTTTCGTACAATCATCTCCATGGGCAAATACCAACAAATGGGGTTTTCAAAAATGCCACTGCCATTTCACTTGAAGAAAATCAGGGCCTGTGTGGTGGAGTAGGCGATCTTCGTCTGCCCCCCTGCCCAACAGGTTCTCAGAAAAACAGCAGCAAATATTACTTGATTAAAATATTGATCCCGGTGTTTGGCTTCATGTCGCTGTTAGTGCTGATATGCTTTTTACTCCTTAAAAAGAAGTCGCCAAGAAGAAAAAATTTAGAATCGACCTCTTTAGGTGGCTACGATTTCCTCAAAGTTTCTTACAATGATCTGGCACAAGCCACGAATAGTTTTTCAGAATCCAACCTTGTTGGGAAAGGAATCTATGGTACAGTGTATAGAGGGACCATAAAGAAATCAAAATTTCAAGTGGCAGTGAAGGTTTTCAACCTCGAGATGCGAGGTGCGGGGAGAAGCTTCATGGCAGAATGTGAAGCATTGGGAAGCATTCGACATCGAAATCTTCTTCCCATCATAACTGCATGCTCGACAGTGGACAATGCTTTTAAAGCTTTAGTTTACGAATTCATGCCTAACGGCAACCTAGACTCGTGGATACACCAGAAAGGGGATGGAAAAGCTGCAAAGCGTCTAGGCCTAACACAAACAATAAGCATAGCGGCTAACATTGCTGATGCACTGGACTATTTACACCACGATTGCGGAAGGCCCACTGTTCATTGCGATTTGAAGCCCAGCAACGTTCTTTTGGATGAAGACATGAATGCGCTTTTGGGAGACTTCGGCATCGCAAGGTTTTATGCTGATTCTCGCTTGACACCACCAGGTTCAATTAGTTCCATCGGTGTGAAGGGGACCATAGGCTACATTGCTCCAGGTATTCCTTTGTTAGTTAATTATTAAGTTTGCCCTTATCTAACATACCCATTTTATTGTCACCACGACTAAACTCTGCGCACGTACTTGTCTCTCTTCAGAGTATGCTCAAGGTGGTCATCCATCAATTTCCGGAGATTCTTACAGTTTCGGGATAGTACTTCTAGAGATGATGACAGGCAAAAGACCAACAGATCCTATGTTCATGGACGGACTCAACCTTGTCAACTTTGTGGAGCGCAATTTTCCACATCAAATCTATAACGTCATTGATCCTCAACTCCAAGAAGAGTGCCAGGACCTAGCACAGAATAAGATGGTACCAGAAAATGTAGTACACCAATGCTTGGCGTCATTGCTGCAAGTTGCACTTTGCTGTGCACATTCATTACCAAGCGAACGAGGGAATATGAAAGAAACAGCTAGCAACATTCATGAAATCAAGACGTCACATCTTGGATGGAAATTGAAGAAATAATGTCACTCATTACCAGAAAGTGTTTCGATCCTGACAGCAATAAAGATATCCCCTGATGAGCACACTTTCTTGCTTTGTGTAGCACCCGGTTTTAACAACAAAACCAGATACACACACCATATGTGAGCTCAGGAAGTCAAATCTCACATATAGCCACAAATGAGGGTAATATCAAAATACAATGTTTAATATATAACATACTTAGTATAAATGATATAACCTTAGACAACAAACAGCGGAAAGATAACTCCGATCTTCGGGTGAAGACTCTAATTCCACATGGGCAACTGACTAGTTGATTATAAGCCTAACTTCTTCAAACTCTATCAATCTGGTACCCATCCAGGATTTTTATCCAAATATTTGAAAAATAAAACAAGCGTAAGTACATGTCGTACTCAACGAATATAACATGGGGTTCATGATGCTCAAAAGTCTGACACTGGTTTAACTGCGATTAGCTTTTAATGAGTCATCTTTTAGCAATTGGGTGGCAACAAGTTTATTCACAAGCCCATATAAACACATGATCAGATAAACATGAATAATAAATAGCATAAACAATTAACCATTAATGAGCATCTTTATCATCAGTATCATCAGTGGTCATCATCTATTCGATAAATGTTCCAAAGCCGCTCGTGACCGTGAACATGGCTGTTATAACAGTTTTACACTCTACAGAGGTTGTACACTTTCACTATCAGTCGTGATTTACCCTTTCGCCCGAGGTCGCGAGCCTCTTAACCCACTACCAAGGAAGGTCGGCAGGGTTCACTATGAAGCCTTTCAAAGGTTCATCTAACAAGTTAGGGCCATTAGATTCACTCAGCAAACAGATATAGGAACCCCCTGTCGAATGGCACAATTCCATCACGGCTATACACATAAGAGTAGATGATGTCCTATATCCGATTCGGCAAGCTATTCTTACGCTAATAAAGGTAACCTCTAACAAGCTAGAAAATGTCCTCATACTGAGCTAAAGCCAGAGTCATATAGCCCTCACAGTTGTACTGTAAGTCCCAGATGATCACTTACAGATAAGTCCTTAGGGAGAGGAATCTAGAGCACCATACAACAACCCAATGCACTAGCCCCCTTATTCCATGTTGCTAAAAAGCATCTTTTAATGTTTATTGCATATACCATTAGTCAAGTTATAAGATCATGGTCTTTAATTGAGCACTAGCATCATACTACCCAATGCAATAACCCATAGGTATCAAGAAACAAGGTAACAAAGCACTACGAAATCCTTAGTGGTAATCAAGGTAGATAAATGCAGTATGAATTAAATGATTAAAGGTGTATTGGACAACAAGGAAGATCCCATGCTATATTGCTTTAAAACTCAGATCCCTCTTCTACTGAATTATGACCTCCAAAAGACTTCATCAGGATCAACTTCTTCTATTTCATCAACGTACTTCTCATCGACTGGACATGATCATAAAGCACCACATAAGCATCCATGCAATCATACATGAAGCAAACAATAGAACTAAATTAGAACAGTACAACAAACATATAAAACAACAAGTAAAAAGATTTGAAAGATGTTCTACACGTTGCTACGAATACACAGATGCGAAAAGCACGCTAATCGGAGCTACGACGAAAAAGATACATCTACCAATAGATCTACTCATAAGAGAAAATATAAAATTATAAGCTTCATGTGTTTTAACTATATAAAAGCTTATATAGATTGAATTAAGTCAAATTTAGATTTGAATTATAAAACTAAAGTAAAATAAATTATATTTTATTTATAAAATCTAGTTGCATAATTATTATTCAAATTAGAGTTTAAACCATAAAATTTCAGAAATAGTGACATGATAAACATTGTTACTAACATGTAGATCTTGTTGTAATGAATCTAGCGCAACTTGAACAGGTCAAATCAGAGCTAAAACGTAGAAGATATGAATTAAACAAGTTTTCCTTTAATAAAATAATAGATTAAATCTAACCTTAAATTTTAAAAGTTAAAAACATATCTAACAGTAGCATGAACATGTAGATTATGGAATTACGGACCTAACGCAGGTTGAACAGGTCAAATCAGAGTTAAAAAAGAGAAAATATGAGCAAAACAAAATCAGTGGTAATCTTGTAATTATTTTGAACTCGTTTTTAGTTTTAAAATAAAAGAAAATGAATTAAAACTTCTCTGTGGACCTGGCGTCGTTTTTGGAAAAACACAGGGGTCAAAACGTAAAAACTAGGGGCATTGATTGAATTATTTTTGAACTACTCGGGACGGTGGGTTGATTTTATAAAAACTCAAGGTCTCTTTAGCAAAAAGGTCGGCGAAGAGGTATCTTCTAATCTAGGCCGTTGATCTCAGATCAGACGGTCGGAAACAAATCGGTGAGAGAGAAGACATGGCCGACGCTGGAATAGGAAGAGGAGGCGGCAGTGGACATGGCCGGCGGCGATCGAGCTCATCGGCGTTCTTGGAAAATGGTCTATGGTTCATGATTGCACGAAACGAGGGCACTAGACGAGCGAGGGGATGATGGCGAGCTCACCTATGGTATTCTCGATGGCAGAGGAGGCACGGAGACGACGTGTGGCTTGGCGGGGTGACGGCGGGCGGCGGCGCTAGGTTTTTGGCTCGGCGCGGCGGCGCTATGAGGTGGCGGTTACTCTAGAACGCTATAGGGAGGGCGGAGCGGTGCGGACATCGATATTTAAGGCCAGGAAACTGCTTGGAGCGCAAAGCAAGGCAACGCGGGGCGGACGCAGACTCCATCGGCGGCGGCGGTAGAGTCCGGTTCCGGGACGGGAGGAAGAAGACGGCCTTGACCGATGAGTCCCGGACGTTAGCGAGAGGAGAGGGGCGCACGGGCTTTGGCTCTTGCTGAGCCGCGAGGAGAGAGGAGACGGGAAAAAGCGGGTGCGGGCCGCGGGAGAAGGGAAAAAATGAGAAGCGGGCCGCGGGGGAAATGAGGAAGAGAGTGAGTGGGCCTTCGGGGCCAAATTGAGGGGAGAGAGGATTTTTCATTTTTCAAATCCTTTTCTATTTTGTTTTCAAAACCAAATTCAATTATAAACTAAATGCAAATTCAAGTAGAATTTTAAATATACTTTTCAACTCAAATAAAAATGAAAAATTTTGGTAGGCTTCGAAAAATAAATTTTACAATTTTTTTAACACTTTTATTTTCCAATTCTCTTTTTCTTTTCAATACATTCCAAAGTCATTTGCAAATTCTTTTCAAAATACAATTTAAACCATTTTGAGATTTATTCTAAACCTCTCAACCAATTAAATCAAATGCACCGGCATGTATGCACATCCATGTTGCTACTCCTTATGATGAATTTTAATATAATAAAAAATATTCTTTTTCCAACATGTCATGTGCACAAAAATTCGAAATTAAATCGATTTAACTACATTTTCATAGTAGCAAATTTTAGGGTGTTACACTTAGTATAATTTATTAGGTACTATGCTTTGGTGAATTCGATATTATCTACATACGTCAGTTCTATTTGTAATAAGGATAGCAATATGCTATTGCTTGAGTTGTATATGTCATTTGTTTTCAATAATGGAAGTTTTTATTGCATTTGAAGATCATATATTACATCGGGGTGACACAAGAATATAAAAAACCCTACCGACATCTGCTTCACTGCTTGCCTGGAGCACATAGCCTAAAGTTTTGTGCAAACTGCAAAATACATACACACTAATAATAACCCTCCATCCGTAGGATTTAACGTCATCCATGCACGTGCTTAGCTAAAAAAAAGTCCTGAGTCCTGACCACTTGTGCCAATTGATGAGTTGCCGTCACAACCAAATCTTAGGAAGCCGGCTTCTTGGGGATAGCCTAGATACATAGACAACAGGTAACTGCAAACATACTACAAAGGGGATAATTATTTTTTTCTTTCCACAAGATCTTATCATTCAAGCAATGTTGGTAAAAAAACGAATAACTAGAGAAACAATTAACAGAAAAATCAGTATAAATTAATAACAAAATACGACAAAAAATAAGCATACAATTAACTACAATATACTCTATTTGAATTTACAAATACTATTCCACCAACCCATGCACTCACATGGGCTAAAATTTTAGGAGATATATTGTTTAATACTGACTAATAGAGAATTATTATATTAAATTGTATATTCTTCTTTTTGTTTATTTTCTACAAAATAGACAAACTAGATACTTCATAGTCTATATCCAGTTATCATAAACTTATTTAGTTACTTTTTTTGCAAGGGACTGATTTCTATGTTTTTCATCCATATTTATATTTTTATTTTGTATATCACCTATGTATATTTTAAATATGTAATTAGTTTGAAATCTTGCCATTAACTATGGCACCCATTGGTGCATCACATATGTCATGAAGTCATGAATCTAAATTTTAAGTTTTTTATTTTATTTTTATTGACTGCCATAGATTTTTTTCGTCTAGTTGAAACACCTATGTTTATTGTATCTTTTATAAACCCTCCTTTTTGCACTTTTTAAAAATAAGGATTTTAGATAGTATGTTTTTAAATACTATAATAGCATAAGTAATCATTTAAAACTTGCACCATGCCATTTAAGATAAGTGATGATAGAGCTTGGAGTGAGATCTCCAATGGGAATAGTAGTGTTAACCTAAAGAGAATTTAATACTTAAACCATATAACAAACCGACTTTTACTCTAAAGTAATCTTAAAGGAGCGGAAAATATAGCCACTAGTGGTCTCTGATCCTATACTTCTCAAGATGATTGAATTTTCCTATCAAGGAATTATATATAATATACAGTTATAGTGATACTATCAATGTAGACACGTCAAGAATTTAGTTAAAATATATATAAACATATCTTTGTTAGTATCATTAGTATATGAGTTTTAACTAATATGGTTTTAAACAATTTGCTACTTTGTTAGTATCATTAGTATATGAGTTGTTAAGGAATTTTTTTTGATGAAACATAACATATATATATATCGCTC